AATCAGAGGAAGCCCCTCGAACTAATGACAGCAGTTGGCATGAATAGCAGGAGCAGGTTAAACGACACCATGCGTGTTCAGGCAGCAAAATCCACTGTCGGGGCAACTCTACTGGAAAAGCAAATTTGCTTCTTCAATAGAGTTGTCAGAAGGAAAAACACAGGAGGGGGCTAGAGATTAAGAGACACACCAGCCAAACGTACTGTGTGGGCTTCGTCTGAACATGGACCTGAACAAACCAGAGAAATGGGCAAACTTGCTGGAAAAGGGACACTATCAAGAGATTACTATTCAGTGGGGCATAGGTGTTACAGTTATGTTTTCAAAGAAGCCCAGAAGTTTGGGAGAGATACGGATGGATTAAATGTGATTCTGGGATTTGCTTCAATAAGGGGGTGTGGGACCAAACAAGATGGGCCGTTGTGTGTTAGCTGCTGAAGGGGGCTGAGGGGTACTGGAGGGGGTCCATTATACTGTTCTCTCTACTTTTGTGTATGTTTGACATTTTCCATCATTAAAAGTTTATATGTATTACACACACACACACACATACATATTCTATCATTAACCCAGAGGCTGTGTTCATGGCCAGCTCCCATCTACAAAAATTAACAACATACATAGACTCAAAAAAAAAATACAAAAGGTTCTTTTTTCCTCACTTGGACCCAAGTGTAATGATGGATTTTCTTGCTAGCCAGGAAAGTTCACCAAGATAAACAAGTCGAGTTTTAAATGTTATGAGCAGCCAAACTCCTGGTGAGGTGCTCTGGAAAGGAATACACTGGATATTCTGGGAAGCCAGACAGCACAAAGGTTTCTAGAGGAAAACGAGGGTCTCGGCCTTAAATCGAGGTTGGCAATAATATCCAAGAAGCCCAGTTATGGACCACAACGCATGGATTCTCTGTGCTTGGAGTTAAAATTGGACAGTAGGGGCAGGGTAATCACCTTACCAATGCCTACCAAAGGTTTTCAAAATTTCTCAATAAATAATACCAAGCTGCATGACACGATCCAAGCGTAAGAGCCATCTTTAGTACCGGAACTGTCTCCGTCTCATGCAAAGACCAGGTAACTCAGAGGAAGGGATAGGATGACTTCTACTTGCTAAGAATTTTAAGCNAGAAATGGGCAAACTTGCTGGAAAAGGGACACTATCAAGAGATTACTATTCAGTGGGGCATAGGTGTTACAGTTATGTTTTCAAAGAAGCCCAGAAGTTTGGGAGAGATACGGATGGATTAAATGTGATTCTGGGATTTGCTTCAATAAGGGGGTGTGGGACCAAACAAGATGGGCCGTTGTGTGTTAGCTGCTGAAGGGGGCTGAGGGGTACTGGAGGGGGTCCATTATACTGTTCTCTCTACTTTTGTGTATGTTTGACATTTTCCATCATTAAAAGTTTATATGTATTACACACACACACACACATACATATTCTATCATTAACCCAGAGGCTGTGTTCATGGCCAGCTCCCATCTACAAAAATTAACAACATACATAGACTCAAAAAAAAAATACAAAAGGTTCTTTTTTCCTCACTTGGACCCAAGTGTAATGATGGATTTTCTTGCTAGCCAGGAAAGTTCACCAAGATAAACAAGTCGAGTTTTAAATGTTATGAGCAGCCAAACTCCTGGTGAGGTGCTCTGGAAAGGAATACACTGGATATTCTGGGAAGCCAGACAGCACAAAGGTTTCTAGAGGAAAACGAGGGTCTCGGCCTTAAATCGAGGTTGGCAATAATATCCAAGAAGCCCAGTTATGGACCACAACGCATGGATTCTCTGTGCTTGGAGTTAAAATTGGACAGTAGGGGCAGGGTAATCACCTTACCAATGCCTACCAAAGGTTTTCAAAATTTCTCAATAAATAATACCAAGCTGCATGACACGATCCAAGCGTAAGAGCCATCTTTAGTACCGGAACTGTCTCCGTCTCATGCAAAGACCAGGTAACTCAGAGGAAGGGATAGGATGACTTCTACTTGCTAAGAATTTTAAGCAGGCCCGGCCGGGTGTGGCTCAGTGGTTGAGCATCGACCTAGGATCCAGGAGATCAGGGTTCGATTCCTGGTCAGGGCACATGCCTGGGTTGCAGGCTCTATCCCCAGTTGGGGGCGTGCAGGGGGCAGCCAATCAATGACTCTCTCATCATTGATGTTTCTCTCTCTCTCTCTTTCCTTTCCTCTCTCTGAAATTAATAAAGATATATTTGAAAAGAAAAAAAAAAAAGAATTTTAAGCAGGGCACAAGTGGCCATGTTTCCTCTCTTTTCTGTGAGTTTGTCACACAATAAACACGTACAGTGACAATGTAGCATCTGATTAAACACTGCCTTTTGAGGCAGCACTATCTGGGAAGCTAGGGTGGGTATCCCAGGATCAAGGCCAGGTCTAGAACTTTCCCCCAGGCTACTTCTCAGCCTCCACCAGGCTCTGGCAAGAAGTAAGGACTGTTCCCTTGGCAAGGGGCTATTTACCGTTGCTGCTCCCAAGCATGGGATCTTCCTACGGAAAGTAGAAAGAAAACGCAGACAGCACGGGCCCTGCTCTGTGCAGCACAGCTCACACTCCGAGCTGGCTACAGGTGTAAAGTTACAATCCCCCGCCCCCCATACTGGCTCTTGCTTCCTGTCCAACAATCCTGGAGAAACCAAGGCTGCCCTTTCCTATTCTTAAAACTACTTTTACTACAAGTGCTGAATTTACTTCCTAGCAATGCCAAGGGGAAGGGCTTTCTCAGTCACCTGAGCCCTGGCACCTTTTCTTTTCTAGAACAGCGATTTTCAACCTTTTTTGTCTCATGGCACACATAAACTGATTACTAAAATTCTGCGGCACACCAACAACTATGTTATAATGTGTTATGTTTTTTGTCAGTCTAACAAAAAAAATAGGCATAATTTTTTTTTTCTTTTTTTGTTTTGTCAATCCTCACCCAAGGATATTTTTTCCATTGATTTTCAGAGAGAGTGGAAGGGCAGGGAAGGGGGAGAGAGGAGAGAAAGAGAGACATCAACTGACTGCTCCCCTTAAATTCCCCGACCAGGGCTGGGGATCAAACCTGCAACCCAGGTATATGCCCTTGACCGGCACTCAAACCCATGACCCTTTGGTGCGCAGGTCGATGCTCTAGCCATTGAGCGACGCCAGCCAGGGCAAAATAAGAATAACTTTGATTCATTCACACAAGATGACTATTGCTATGTTGGCTATTGTCATTTTTTTTATTTGGCAATCTAAGGGAAAAGCGATCAGTGTCCCTCACTAAATAGTCAGGTACAGCATGTTTTAAAAATTCTTGCGGCGCACCAGTGTACCTCTCATAGCACACTGGTTGAAAATCACTGTTCTAGAGTTTTCAGTCTTAAGCTGATGTTGCAATATAAGCTTTCTCTTCAAATAAGGAAATGGAGATGGCTGGAGTGATGGCGGCCAGGCAGAGGGACAGGAGCTGGGCCTGGCAATCCCGCTACAGAAGCCAGAGCCCACCTCACTGAGAATAGCACCAGGCGATTCCTGCCATCAACTGAAGGCTGACTGGGTAGTGGGCGCTGGTGCTGCCTTCTGGACAGTTTAGCCAATCACTGTTGGTATGGACTGAATCGTGTGTCCCCCACTCCCCCAATGGGATGGTATTTGGAGATGGGACCTTTGTGCGGTGATTAGATTTACATGAAGTCATGAGTGGAGCCCCATAATGGGATTAGCATCCTTGTAAGAAAAGGAAGGGACACCAGAGACCAGAGATCCCTCACAATCCCCATTCAAGTGAAGACACAGCAAAAAGTGGGTCCTCACCAGATACCGAATTTGCCCGTTCCACTGATCTTGGACCTCCACCCTCCAGAAGTGTGACAAGTGTCTGCTGTTCGAGCCGCCCATTCTCTGGAATTTCGTGACAGCAGGCAAGCTGACTAAGACAATCCCATTGACAGTGAAAACAGTAGGCAAAGAAGGTGTAAAGCGCATGCCCAAGTTCAGCAAATGAAGCCGGGCTCTGAAGCAAAAGAGAATGAATCTTGACCACCAAGCATACCCTTTCTTAAAAAGTTAATTCTTTCAGACCAACAATATCACCATTTATAAAATACTCTTTGTTCATTGAATTTGCTCACTTAATACAGCTCACAAATGATGATATTCATCCACAAACTCTTAGTAGGGATACGTTTTCATTGTAAAGATACCAACAGGAGGAAGACCTATAGACCAGACTGTCCAACAGAACAGTCTGTGGTGATGCAAATATTCTATTAACTGTGTTGTCTGATGCAATGGCCACTAGCCCAGTGGTTCTCAACTGGGAGCTAATGGGCCCTCCAGGGAACACTTGGCAAAGCCTGGAGACACTTTTGGCTGTCACAAATGGGTGGGAAGATGTTACCAGCATCTAGGGGGCGGAGGCCAGGGATGCTGCTAAACATCCTATGATGCATAAGACGGCCCCACCACAGAGTTCTCTGGTCCAAAATGTCAACTGTGCCGAGGTGGAGAAAATCTACACTAGCCACATGTGACTACTGAGAACTTCAGAT